CTTCCCTTTCCTTTTCCTTTTCCCTTCCCTTCTCTTTCCCCTTTTCCCCTTCCTTTCCTTTTCCTTTTCCCTTCCCTTTTCCTTTTCCTTTTTTCCTTTTCCTTTTCCCTTCCCCTTTCCCTTCCTTTCCCCATCCCCATCCCCATCTCCTCCCCTCCCCTCCCCTCGACCCACCCTTCCCCACACTCCCCACGACTCCCCTCAGGACGCAGAGTCCCCACTGGGGCAGGGGGGACGCACCTTCTGGGGGCATTTTCTTGGAGGGGGCAGCAGGGGGTGGCAGTGGCACGAGGCTGGTGACACGGAATCCAGCAGGGAGGGTCTCTGCGGAGCCGCTGAGCATGTTGATGCTGTGGATGTCCCGCGGGCGGAATCGCTTCCGCCACGACGGCGTCCGGCGGAACGTCTTGTCATCGCCCTGCCAGGGACAGCACAGCAGGCTGTGGGCACAGCACCCTGCCCCTGGCAGGCACCAGCACTGCTGCCACCCCTCTGGGGTGTACCTGGCCCCAGTGACCCCTGAGCAGCGCAGGAACCACAGAACAATCATGGAATATTCCAAGCTGGAAGGACCCCCAAGGACCGTCGAGTCCAACTCTTCAGTGAACAACCCAAACCCATGACCTCGGTGTTCAGAGCTAATCCCAGCTGCTGATGCTGTTCTCAATGCCTATGTCCAATTCCCTCGGGATGGAGGAACTTCCAACCCCAAGACACTGATCTTGCAGCTGGTGAAGCTTTGGGGGTGAAGGACTCCCAAGGCAGAGCTCCAGGGAGCACCATGCTCCGACCAGCTGAGCTCACGTCGGGGTCACGTGTGATCAAACCGTGGGCCAAGGGCAAGGAGACCTCTCTGGGGTCGCAGGGCTTTATCCCAAGGCTTTATCCTTTCCAGCTCGCCTGTCTCTTCTCCCCAGCCTGCCTGCAAAGATGCTTTGGAGACATCAACACACAGGCCTCTCTAAAGACCCCAAGGGATGGTGGGGTCATGGAAGAGATGCTCCAGCCCTCGGAGCACCCCTGTGGCCTCCTCTGGACTCGCTCCAGCAGCTCCACCTCCTTGTGCTGCTGTTCCCCAGGGCTGGGCTCAGCTCTGCAGGGGGGTCCCACCTGAGGGGCAGAATCTCCCCTGCCCTGCTGTTTACACTGAGGGATCAGCCCAGGGCATGGGGCGTTTGGGGTCCCAGCACACGTGGCCAGGGCATGTTGAGCTTCTCATCCATCCACAGCCCCAAGTCCTACCCCCAACAACACGGGACAAGGGACAGGTCTGGCACTCACGTCATCCAGCCTCCGGTCCGTTCCCAGGGCGAGCAGGTTGTTGAACTCCCTCTCCAGCACCTGCCGAGCCTGAAAGGAACCAAAAATGAGCATTTCCCCCCAAGTGAAATGTGTTTCCAGCCAAAAATCCCATCTCAGGAGAGCCTGAGAATGACAGAAAAAGCCCCCGTACCACCAGAGGGCTCTGCTTTGAAGGGCAGGGCTGAGTTGGTGGGACTGGTGGGGTCACCCCCCAGCCGTGTCCCACACTGGCCACCCTCCTCCAAAACCCCCCAAGGGTGCTGCTCCTACCTGTGTGTTCTGGGTGGGGATTTGCAACACCAGGGCCAGGCTGTTGTGGTCAAAGTTCTCATCCAGGGCCAGCAGGGCCCCGTGCACCCCGCTCTCCACCAGGTTGTTGGCGTACTCGCGGAGCCCGATGGACTGGATCCAGTGGATCACCTGGTCGTTGGTCCACACCAACACGTCTGCAAAAGAGCCAGGGCACGTCTCAGGGCCACCTCAGACAACGCTCTCGTGGTTGTGAGGGGATCTGAGGATGTCCAAGGGGTCTTTTCCCTGTGCCCCAGGCTGATCCTGGGACTCTCCTTCCCGAGCCAGCAACACCGGGAGCTCAAGTGCCAGGAACAGCTCACTTCAATTTACCAAACCAAAGGCTGAAATAACAGGCAGAAAACAACTGTGAAAATTAATCCTAAGAACCTACGGCTGCTGGTGTAATTAGGGGCATTATCAGTAATGAGATGTAATCCAAGCAGCAGCCAGATGCACAGGGAATCTCAGGACAACCAGGAAGGGGAGGCCGAGCAAGCCGGGGCTGTGTGCTGAGCATCTGAAATGGGCAGGAGAAGATCTGATGCTCAGGTTGGGTCTCTGCTGCCCTGACACCCTTCCTCCCTCCCCCTGCCTGACTGGGGTCACACTGCAGGGAGAACAGCCCCGTGGGCTCAGAAATAATGTGTTAAAAACAGGGGACAGGGAGGGACCATCGCTGGGGCTCCTGGAGTTTCCCTTCTCCTTGTCCTGGACACGGTGTGCAGGTGCTGACCTTTGATCTCGTGCTGGGTCTCCTCTCGCCTCCTCTCGAGCTCCTTGCGGTCGTAGTTGAGCCTCTTGAGGCACATGATGCCGTACTGGAGGCTGGTGCTGCGAGGACACGAGGTGTCACCCCCTCCCCAGGGGCTCAGTGCTACCAGAGGGACCTGAGCAGGGCCCCACCCCCTGCGTGCCCTCCGTGTGCCCAAAGGGTCAGGGATGGCTCAGGACAGACACAACCCCGAGACGGAAAATGGGGAATGTCCTTCCCTTCCATGGCAATTCCCCACTCCATCAGTTCTACCCTGTCCCAGCTGCCTGGGAGCCCATGGATGCAAACAATCACAGAATCATAGAATTAACTGGGTTGGAAGAGACCTCCAAAATCATCAAGTCCAACCCTTCATCCAACCCCACTGTGATTACCAGATCATGGCACTCAGTGCCACATCCAGCCTCGTCTTAAAAACCTCCAGGGACGGTGAATCCACCACCTCTCCGGGCAGGCCATTCCAATGCCTGATCACTCTCTCTGTAAAGAACTTCTTTCTAATATCCAACCTAATGACAGTGCTTGGTGGGGGAGAGGGAAGGGAGGACCAGCCCAGGGGGCTGCTCCAGGCTCAAGGGCAGGGGGGACATGGCAGGGCCATGGACACATCCCTGTGGGTCAGGGGGATGGGGCCGCCCCAGGACAGGGCTGGGTGCTGGAGCAGTGGTTGGGATGGCACAAGCCTTCTCCACCTGGGCTGCTCTGCTGCCAGTGGGGCTCCAGGGGGGATAAGCCTCGGTTTCTGCCCATGGTTTGCCCCACAGCCAGGAGAAGGCTTGGTGCCTCTGCAGTTGTGCAGCAGGGGGTGGGATGAAGGAGAACAATTCCCATCAGAGCTGTCCTAACCCAGGAGGGGAAGTCCAGCCCAGAAGAGCCACCTAGGGCTGGCCAAGACAGGGGAGGGTCCCCCAAATCCCCCCCTCCTCGGCTCCACGTGCACCCAGGGCCCTCCCGAAGCAGGGCACTCACCGGTGGAAGCTGTCCACCATCTTCAGGTGCACCCTGAGGTCCTTCTTGGTGAGGTGGTCCAGCATGCGGGCATCCACCAGGCACTCCATGAAGTAGCTGCGGTACTGGGGGAGGCCCAGGCTGGGCAGCCACTCGTTCCCAATCCACTCGTGGTTCATGTCCCCGTAGGCCAGTGTCTGTGGGGAAGCAGATGGAGAAGCCTGGGAGAACCCTGGGCTTGGTGGAGCTGGAAAACCCCAGGAGAAGGGAGACAGCTCTGCAGGGGTCACTGCCCTGGGGGCCAAACCCAGCAGAGGAGTTTAACCCACAGTTGCACCGGGGGAGCCCGAGGGAACAGCCCTGCTGGCCATGGTTTGTGTCCTGCTGATGTCCCACAAGGAGACAAGGCAGTAGCCCAAGGAATAGCTGAACTTTCATGAGCAGCTGCTTCTGGAAAATCCACATTCAGGTTTCAAACCTGAACCAGCTAAGAAATAGGTTTCAGTGCATTCCCACTGATGTTTAAGAACCTCTGTTTTAAGAATCTCTGTTTTAAGAATCTCTGTTTTATGGTGTCAAAACAACAAGAAAAGGGTCTGTTTTGGGCAGAACCCCCTCCCCCCCATTCCCTTTCACTGCAAACTGGTTCTGGGTCAGAAAATGAAATAAAATCCACCAGAATAAAAGTAAAACATTTGAGAGGGACAAAACCAGAAAGGATGGATCTCAGCAGGACTTTTTCCTTCCACCTTTTTGGGTCATTAAAATGGTCTGTATGGACTTGGGGCTACAAAATAGGTGGAAAGTAAACGTAAAATGTAAAATAGTTGAAAAGAAAAGCTGCCCCCAGTGGGGGGTTCTTAACAAAGGGTCTGGATCTTACAGAGCAGGTCCCAGTAAAGTCCCTGTCTGGAGCAGAAGAGGACCTGCAAGGTCCCAGGAGGACACCCTGCACCTGAAAGGTGGCTCTGGAGCAGGCCCAGGGTGCAGGTTCAGACTCCAACAGGGACTGAGGGAACGTCAAAGCCCCATATTCACCCCCTGGGAATGTCCAGCTCTCCCTCCCACAACCACCCCATGCAATGCCCCAAAAGGGTGACAGGAGGATCTCACCTGTGCCCAGCTGCCCTCCTCTGTGTCCTAGGAGTGGCACATGCAGCATGTCAACAGAAAGGACAGGTCAGATCAGTGCCTGGGGCCACGACAGGATCTGCCACGTGCTGAGCGCGGGTCCCGTGGCACAGCAGGACCAGGAGGGGACAGGGGTCGCTCCAGGGGTCACCAGGGTGCTGGGGACACCCCAACCCTGCCAGGCCTTCGTGTCACCCCCTCTCTAACCAAGTGAGGAGGGTACAGGAGGTTTGGACTGGAGACAGCACTGACACTGGGGCTCCTTCGCCTTCCCTGGGAAATCTGGGGAGTTCTTGTGTCCCCCCAAGTGAGATGGATGCAGAGACAAACTTCAGCTTCAGTTCCTGGGTCACCACCCCCAGGGGGGCTGCCCAACCCCACTTGATGATTTTGTAGTTTCCTTATCAAGCTGGGCTGGTTTTCCACACAAAACCTGCCAGGGGACAGTGTCACCTCTCTGCCTTAACTCAGAGCCCTCCTACCCAAAAAGCACCTGCCAGTCACAGGTCTGTGCTACTCAAACAGCAGAAAAAAGCTTCAGTAAAATGCCTAAATCACAGAATCCCAGAGTGGTTTGGGTTGGAAAGACCTTGAAGCTCATCTTGTTCCACATCCTGTCCTGGGCAGAGACAACTTCCACGGGACCAGGTTGCTCCAATCCAAGGAGCAACAAACAACATTCCCACAACAAATCCAAAATGCTGCCCCTGTTCTGAGCCAGGGGGTCATTAAGTTGCAGAGAGGGGAGTGTGGCTACATCTCCAAAGGAGCCAGAGCTTTTGGGGGCACGGCCACACCCCTATGAGGGACCCTGAGCCAGCAGCGGGGCCAGGCAGTAGGGCCAATATTTGGGTGTGCTGAGGTCAGTGGGGCATGAGGCAGTGGCTTCTCTGGGTGCAGAACGAGGCAGGGGCTCAGTCTCACGTGTCTATCTTGAGACCTCTCTTGCTTTTTGCCTTCAAGTCCCAGCTGACAGACAGGCTGCCCTAGAAACACCTGGGGGCTCGACAAAGGAAAATGCATCTGATGTTTTTTAAGCCAGTTCTAGAAATTGTTGGGCTATCAAAGGTTGAAACATGGTTTCTAAACAGGTGCAGAGTGCTGGCCAAGAGCTGACACATGAGAGGCAGCAGAGATCCCTTTCCTTCCTGGGATCTGGGGCATGAACACAAGCCCAGAGCTCAGTGACCTCGGGGCTGCTCGGCCTCACCGTCTTGGTGGAGGTTGCCAAGTTCTCCATCTCCTCGTGGGTGACCCAGACGTTTCCAGAGGACTGCAGGGAAAACAGCAGAGCGGTCAGAGTAAACCAGCACAGAGCACATCATCAAATCATGGATTGATAGAATTATTAATGTTGGGAAAGACCTTTAATGTCATCAAATCCCAACCATCAACCCAGCACCACCACCATGTTCACGTGTCCTCAAGTGACACATCTACTTGCTTTTTGAGTGCTTTCAGGGTGGGGACTCCACCACTGCCATGGGCAGCCCCTTCCAACGCCTGAGCACCCTTTCCAGGAAGAAATTTTCCCCAATATCCAACCTGACCCTTCCCTGGTACAACTTGAGGCCATTTCCCCTCCTCCTGTCCTTGTTCCCTGGGAGCAGAGCCCGACCCCCCCCCGGCTCCCTCCTCCTGTCAGGGATTGCAGAGCCAGAAGGTCCCCCCTGAGCCTCCTTTTCTCCAGGCTGAGCCCCCCCAGCTCCCTCAGCTGCTCCTGCTGCTCCAGCCCCTTCCCAGCTCCGTTCCCTTCCCTGCACACACTCCAGCCCCTCCGTGTCTCTCTTGTCAGGAGGGGCCCAGAACTGAGCCCAGGATCCCAGGGGGGCCTCAGCAGTGCCAGCACAGAAGGACAGCCACTGGTCCTGTTGGTCACACTATTGCTGGCACAGCCCAGGTGCCACTGGCCTTCTTGGCCACCTGGGCTCATGTTCAGCCCCTGTCACCAGCACCAACTGCACTGGAAACAAAGGACCTTCATCTCCCTTTGCATGTTGGGGTGATGACCCGGAGCCTGTGGGCCTGTCCCTCCTAGCTGTGACCCCAGACAGAACCATCTGAGGGGGGCAGAGCAGCCTGGGGCCTTTCCTTCTGCCAGCTGCTGCTCTGCAGATGTGTCTTGGCATTACTGGGGCACCATCAACCCCTTGAGGGGTTGGGGACCAGCACAAGACACAATCCCTCGATCCTACCCAGGATCTGCAGCTGCTCCGGCTGCCCCAGGACTTTCACATGGTCCCAGGAAAAGGCTTGTGTTGAAATGACTGCAAAAATATCTGTGTGTGACCCTGTAAATCAGGAAGGTTTGGATTTGGGCTGTTTGGACGGGATTTTATCCTCTCCAGGGCAGCCAGTCCCTGGGCTTTGCTCCTTGCAGGCAGGCTCAGCTTCTTGCTGACAACCCAAGTGAGAACAGGAGCCTCGAGGCAGGAAAGAGCTTCCCCTTCGATGGTCATAACTGCTCTTTGTGCCAGCAGATTGCTTTGACTGATCCCCCAGGGGACATCACCACATCACCCCCATCCACGGCCACGCTCGCCCGGAGCTCCGGGGCTGCAGAGGGCCCACGGTGCTGCCAGGGGTGTGAGGGGCACTCACCGTGCGGGAGGTGGGGGGTGCCGAGGGGCTGGTCAGTGACACCATCTCCTGGATGGCCAGGCGCAGCTTGAGGCGGTGCAGGGCGTTGCTGATGCCGATCTCCCGCTGGATCTCGGTGTCCGACAGCGCCGACATGATGGCCCCGCTCTTCACGTTGGCACGGCAGGCGGCCACGTACCAGGCTGGCATCCCCACCCAGAGCTGCCAGGGCAGGGCAGAGCCGATGACTGCCTGGCTGAGCCACCCCACTGCCCCCTGAGCCACCCCACAGCCCACTGAAACACCCCAGTGCCCACTGAGACACCCCACTGACTGTCTGAGCCACCCCACTGACTGTCTGAGCCACCCCACTGACTGTCTGAGCCACCCCACTGCCCACTGAGCCACCCCACTGCCCACTGAGTCACCCCACTGCCCACTGAGACACCCTGGTTGAAGCTCAGTATCAAAGTTGATGCCCCACATGGGCTCTTTGGGGCTGGACCCTGTGCAGATGGCTGTGGGCAGCCCAGCACCCCTGTGTGTGATGGACACAGCACAGCCTTCCATGGAATCATGGAGTCACTGAGGTTGGGAAAAGCCTCTAAGATGATCCAGTCCAACCGCTGCCCCAACACTGCTGTGTTCACCGTTAACACACGTCCCCAAGTGCCACATCCACACCTTTTCTGAACAGTCCCAGGGATGGGAACTCCACCACTGCCCTGGGCAGCCCCTGCCAACACCTGAGCACCCTTTCCAGGAGGAAATTTTCCCCAGTATCCAACCAACCTGCCCCTCCCCTGGCACAGCTGGAGGCTGTTCCCTCTCCTCCTGTCCCTGTTCCCTGGGAGCAGAGCCCGACCCCCCCTGGCTCCCCCCTCCTGTCAGGGATTGCAGAGCCAGAAGGTCCCCCCTGAGCCTCCTTTTCTCCAGGCTGAGCCCCCCCAGCTCCTTCAGCTGCTCCTCACCAGACTTGTGCTCTAACCCAAAGTTCTCCTCAATCCACAGCTCTGCAGACCCTGTGAGGGATCTGGGGAATCTCCTCTGCTCCCCAGGGTTGGCAGCCACCAGTGAATGGACCAAGCCTGGTGGGACTGGGGGTGCTGGGGGAGCACACCCAGCCCGGTGGTGACAGCACGGGGACAGTGCACAGGCTCTGCCTCACCTCCAGCCAGGACACAACAGTGGGGCCATCCCAGTGAGCAAAGGGCAATCCTTTCCTCCGAGCCTCTTCCAGGAGTTCGTGCCTGGAAGGAAGAGAAGAAAAGAGTGATTTTCTGGGTTTTTTTTGGGGGGAAGGGAGCAATTCCTGAAAGGGAACAGACCATGGGCAGCAAGAACCCAGTGAAGGAGGTAACCAGGACTCAAGGGAGGGCAATGATGAGAGAACTTCCCAGCAATTCCCAGATCCATGCCATGGCCTCCCAGCCATGATTTTCCTGCTGGGGTAGGGAAGGAGGTTCACTCACTTCTTCCGCAGACGCCGATCCTTCTCGGCCTGAGCGCCCAGCTTGCCCAGGCCCAGGGGGTCCTGGATGCTCCCCTCTGCATCAGTCAGCACCACTGTTGGGCAAAGCAAGACACCCTCAGGTCAGTGTGACATCCCAGGGTCAGTGTGACATCCCCCAGGGCCAGTGTGGGCACTGTCACTGTCCCACAGTCACAGCACAGGAGGGACAGTCTCCATTTCCAACCCACCACGAGACTCCCCTGCCTCCCTGGGAAGCCCAAGGGAATTCCAACCTGCCATCCCTCCTATTTCAAAATGCTCAGTGGGGAAGCAGTGAAGGATTTGGGAGTGGAAAAACAGCTCCCATCAAAGGGCTCTGCCAATTCCACGAGGTCCCACGGGGAGGGAAGCAGATTTGGGGACATTACAGATACAGTGACGGGAGGTCACCACCCACACCCCAGCTCTGGCAGAGCCCCAAGGGGGACACCAACGCTCAGGACATGGGGAAAAAGCACCAGGCTCCAACCACCCCCACATGCCCAAACCAGCATGGGTGTCCCTGCCCCTCCACCTGTCACCCAGGAGCACCCTAAGGCCAGGCAGGTCAGGAGGGTGCAGAGCCTGGCCCAGCATGCAGGGATGGGGCTGTCACAGACCCTGCCCTGTGGCCCCTTCTCTGCTCAGCTGGATCAAGCGACCCTTCTCCTTTTTCCCAAACAAGCGCCCGATGGAGGATTTGATCCCCTTCCTCTTGGAGCCCTTGTGCAAGGAGTCCTGGCTGCTGCTGGGGTTGCTGGCCTGATCCTCCAGCGAGCTGGGGATGGAGGAGGGAGAGGAACAGCAAAGCCTGTAAGTTATTTCTGAGCAGGGCACAAGCCATGACAAACCCCAGCCCGCCCCATAACCCCGCACAAGCCCCGTGTCTGTCCCCACACCGAGAGAGCTGTGAGATCCCAGGGGTGCTGCACATACCTCTTCCCATCCTCCTGGCTCAGAGCAGGGTGGCCAAGCTTCTCCAGCCTCAATGTCCTGGGCGAGGAAGGTGGGGACGTCTCGCACTTGATGGTGGTTTTATCCTCCCGGCTCTCGTCTCGAGCTGCGGGCGACTGAACAAGGGGAGAAGCCGTGAGGGTGGCAGCCAGAGCCCAGCTCCATCCTTGCCCTGCTGCCTGCCTCTCTCTTGCTCCATGGAGGCATGGCCAAAAGAGCCACCAGAGCCCTGAGGGATTGGCCTGAATTAAGAGCTCTGGCAATGGTTCCAGAGGCCCAAGCGGGTGGGCAGGATGTGGCCACGTGGCCGAGATCCTGGGAATAGGGAGGTGAGAGGATGCAGCCCCATGGTCCAGGTCAGGGTGTGGAGACAGAAGCTGCTGGCCCTCAGCAGAGGGCTCTGAGGAGCACAGATGGGAATGTCCCAAACGCCAGAGGGGACACAACGTTTGAGGACCCAGTGGCTTTCTGAACCTCCCCACGTCCTGCCAGACCCCCCAGGCTGCCAGCGGGAATGTGTCCAAGCACCTTTTGGGATCCCCATGATCCTCCTGCTGAATCCCTGGGGTCCCCCAGCTCCATCCCGCGCCTGCTGCACCCTGACCTGGTGTGGACAAAGCCAGGAGCAGGCTGGAAAAAGGGCTTGGACAAAAACCAACGGGATGGGAGCCACTCACTAGCAGTTTCCTCCGGTGCTTCCTCAAGTCGCTGGGCTGATTGCAAGGGGGAAAGCGAGAGAGACACAGAAAGGGGGGCAGTTAATGGAGAACCCCCCCAGCAGAGCAGTCCCGGGGCCAGGCGTGCCAGGCTGGAGACAGCAACC